GAACGGAACTCCTCAAAGGTAGAGGTCGGCAGTCCCTTCGTCATCACATCGGCGAACTGCTGAGCGGTCGGCACATGGAGAACCCGCATGCGTCCAAGAGCCACCTGCTCGCGCACAAAGTGAATGTCCAGCTCGATGTGTTTAGTCCGGCGATGATGAACGGGGTTGGCGGAGAGGTACACCGCAGAGACGTTGTCACAGTAGACAACCGTAGCCTGGGAGACATCGTGATGTAGCTCCTGAAGTAACTGTCGAAGCCAGGTGCACTCGGCGACAGCGTTAGCCACAGCTCGGTACTCAACCTCCGCGCTAGAGCGCGAAACCGTGGGTTGTCGCTTGGACGACCTCGAGACAAGGGAAGGACCAAGGTAGACGCAGTAGCCAGAGGTGGACCGACGAGTATCGGGGCAGCCGCCCAGTCTGCATCGGAGTAAGCCACCATCTCCAGAGAAATGGACGCCGTAAGTGTCAACCCGAGGGACATCGTGCCGCGGATGTAGCGAAGGATCCGCTTCACGAGAGTCCAATGAGAGTCACGAGGGGCGTGCATGTGGAGACACACCTGCTGTACAGCATACTGAAGATCCGGTCTGGTGAGAGTCAAGTACTGTAGAGCGCCGACAATAGACCGGTAGAAAGGAGCATCCGACGCAAGCGAACCCTCAATAGCAGAGACCTTGGCCTTCGTGTCCACAGGAGTAGCAACAGGATGGCAGTTGAGCATGCCATCACGCTCAAGAAGCTCATGTGCATAATTCTGCTGATGAAGAAAGAAACCGTCCGGACGCCGAACGACCTCAATGCCAAGGAAATAATGTAGAGCACCCAGGTCCTTGATAGCAAACTCGTCACGCAGCCGGAGAGTAATCTGCTGAAGAACGGCTGCAGAGGAGGCTGTCAGGATGATGTCGTCGACGTAAAGCAGCAAATATGCAGTCGTGTCACCGTGGCGATAAACAAACAGTGAGGCGTCCGAGCGAGTGACGCTGAAGCCCAGTGTCTGAAGAAACCCGGCGATCCGCTGGTACCAGGCTCGGGGTGCCTGCTTGAGCCCATAAAGAGAGCGAGACAGCAGGCACACATGGCCGGGAAGTGAAGCGTCGACGAAGCCGGTGGGTTGCTCACAAAACACCTGCTCCTCAAGATGGCCGTGGAGAAAGGCGTTGGAGACATCCATCTGGTGAACAAGCCAGCCGCGGGAGACGGCGAGCTGGAGGACAGTGCGGATCGTGCCCGGTTTGACAAACGGGGCAAACGTCTCCGTGAAGTCAACTCCAGCACGCTGACGGAAACCGCGGACCACCCAGCGAGCCTTGTAGCGCTCAAGTGAACCGTCTGAGCGGGTCTTATGGCGAAAGACCCACTTGCCTGTGATGACGTTGGCGCGAGGAGGCCGGGGAACCGGGGTCCAGGTGCGGTTCCGTTGAAGAGCGTCGAACTCTTTCTGCATCGCCGCAAGCTAGTGAGGATCACGAAGGGCGGCGCGAGCGGACGCAGGAATGGGCGACGGCTCCACAGCGGAGGCGGCGAGGACGTACTCGTCACGCGAGTACCGGAGACTCGGACAATGAATGCCGGCGTGAGCGCGGGTGACGGGGCCGGACGGAGCCACCGGAGCCATCGGCGAGGCGGCCGGCGTCGGGGCCGGGGAGGCGGCGGGCGTCGCGGCCGGCGAGGCGGCCGGCGTCGCAGCCGACGATAGAGCCGGCGAGGCGGCCGGCATCGGGGCCGGTGAGGCGGCCGGCGTCGAGGCGGCGGAGGAGGCGGCCGAGCCGGCAGCGCCCGACCCCGCGGCGCCCGAGTCGGGGGCAGCGGGGCGCCGGCCGCGCCGTCGGAGCCAGCCGAGGAGGCCGGATGGGTGGGCGCCGACAGAAGGGCGCGAGGACCGCCAAAGCTCGGAGGCGGTCCACGAGCCAGACGTGATCGTCCGCCTGACGAGGTCGTCGATGGGCCGCCGGTGGCCGGCGGCGACGAGACGACAAGGGGTACCTGCTGCTGAAACGGGAAGACCATCTCATCAAAGTAAACGTGTCGGGAGGTGAAAACACGGTGCGAGACGGGATCGTAGCAGCGGTAGCCCTTAGTGTTGGGTGGGTAGCCGAGAAAGATGCAGGCGACGGAGCGAGGTGCGAGCTTATGAGGCGCAGTGGCAGCGATGCTAGGGTAGCACAGGCAGCCAAAGATGCGAAGCCCTTCATAAGAGGGAGGTGCACCGAAGAGAAGGTGGTGAGGTGTAAATTTCCCGCGAGTACGACATGGACGGATGTTGATGAGGAGAGAAGCGGTGGCGAGAGCGTCAGGCCAAAAGCGCGGAGGCACATTGGCATGAAAGGGAAGAGTCCTAACGCAGTCATTAAGAGTGCGAAGGATGCGCTCAGCACGACCGTTTTGCTGCGAGGTGTACGGGCAAGTGAGACAAAAAATCATGCCATGTGTGGTGAGAAGATTACGAACAGCGGTGTTGTCAAACTCCTTCCCGTTGTCTGTCTGCAACGCGAGAATGGGTCGACCAAACTGCGTGAGAACGTAAGAGTAGAAAGCGGCAAGGGTGGATATAACATCCGACTTGCGGCGCAACGGGAAGGTCCACACATAATGCGAAAAATCGTCAAGAATGACAAGATAATAAAGAAAGCCCGTATTACTGGCAACAGGAGATGTCCAAACATCACTATGAATCAACTCAAACGGGTACGATGCAACAAAGGAAGAAGGTCTAAACAGAAGACGAGCATGTTTGCCGAGGCGACATGCATGATACGAGTGATCCTCGTTCTTATGACACGTGAAGGAAAAACTCCGAAGTATGTGGCGAAGTGTGGCAGGATTAGGATGACCCAAGCGAGCGTGCGAGAGATCCACTCCGGTGGCGAGAGCGACAGGGGCGGCAGAAGTGGTGGGGGTGGCGGAGTGAACCGGGTAGAGCTCGTCGGGGCTGTCACATCGGTGGAGCACCATCCACGTGCGAGCATCCTTAAGAAAAAAACCACATTCGTCAAATTCAACAGTGACTGGATTTTCACGTGTAAGAGAACGAACGGAAACAAGATTTTTAATAAGGTCAGGAGAAACAAGAATATTAGACATGGATATAGGAGTGGAGTTAGACGGAAAATATGTATGTCCAATATGGATGATGGGAAGAGAAGAACCGTCACCGACGGTGATGCGGTTGGAGGTGTGGACAGGATGGGCAGTGTGGAGGTTACCGGGATGCGCCGCCATATGAGCGGTGGCGCCACTGTCCATGTACCAATCGCCACCGCCGGTGTAGCTGGACGGGGAAGGAGCGGTATGGAGAGCCGCCAGAAGGGCCGGGTCCCATGGTGCCGGCGGGAGGGACGACGCAACCGTTAGGGGCACCAGCGGCGGCCCACCTGGTGGCGGCTGCTGCCCGTAGGGCGCTGCATAGGGCTGCGGCGCGGCGTAGTACGCCTGGTGTGACGGAGGCCGAGTGCCGAGGAGGCCCGGAGTGGGGGCCCGAGGGACCGGCATGGAGTAGGCGTGGACGACGCCGGTCCATGGGTTCTGGCCGGCGTACCACGGAGCCGCCGGCTGAGGGGCCGGCTGCTGCTGGCGAGGTGCTCCTCCCTGAGCACCGCCGCCGCCTCCCTGCTTGCGGCCACCCCGGCGGCCGCCGCGACGACCCCCCCATTGGCCGCCGGCTGGGGCGGCGGGAAGGGGGCGGCTCGGGCGGGCGGGAAGCCAGGCGGGAAGGCGGGCGCCGCCGGCTGGGGCGGCGTCAGGCGGGGTGGTGGCAGGGCCGAACCCCCGCGGGTGCCGGCGACGAGGACGGTGTGGGTCGCGCGCGTCCCTGCCACCTGCATCCGGCGCTCCTCTAGCTTGAGGTACGCGACCACCTTGGCGAAGGTGGGCTCCGGGATGAGGGTGAGGTTGGAGGCGGCGTTCCAGAAGTCCTCGTTGAGGCCGCCGGAGAGGGTGCTGATGAGGAGCTCGTCGCCGATCTTTCCCCCCAGACCACGGAGCTCATCGGCGAGCTTCTTGAGGCGCATGCAAAAATCATCGATGGACGAGTCAAGTTGCTGGCACCCGTAAAACTCGCCATAAAGGAGGACCTTGCGCTGCAGCCGATTGTCGGTGAAGAGGCCGTTGAGCTTGGTCCAGACCGCATAGGCGTCGTCCTCGTCGTTCACCACGGTGTGGAAGATGTCGCCGAAGATGGTGAGATAGAACCAGCGGATGATGGTGGCGTCGAGGATCATCCACTCCTCGTCGTTGATCATGAGCGCCGAGTCCACGGTGTCGTCCACGTGGCCGTGTAGGAGGTACTCACGGAACACAAGCGAAAAGTACCGCTTCCAAGTGGAGTAGGAGGCGGTGGTGTGATCAAGTTTGACCAGGACGCGCTTATGGATGTTGAGGTCGCGGACGAGGGTGATATCGGGACCGGCGAACGGGTTGGAGACGGTGGAGGAGGAGGAACTCATGGTGGTTCGGCTCGGGTGGTAGGGTGCGGCGCGGGTTAAGGGAGAGAGGGGGTAGGGCGCGGCGCGGGTGGGGAGGGAGGGGCGCGGCGCGGTGGAAGGAGGCGGAAGCAGTGGGGTGCGGCGACGGCGGCCTCGGGTGGAGGCGGCGGCGGCGAGCGGGGCGGGGAGGGCAGTGCGGCGGTGACCAGCGGCGGCGGCGGCGGCCGGAAGGAGGGCGGCGACGGCAGCGGCTGGTGACGGCGGCGGGAAGAGGCGGCGGCGGCCGGAAGGAGGGCGGCGGCGGCAGCGGCTGGTGACGGCGGCGGGAAGAGGCGGCGGCGGCGGCGGCGGCTAGGGTTAGGATCGTGCTGTGATGGATACCATGTAGAAGGACAAGTTATGGGCTGTGCAATCTTGATGTATTGATCGGTGCACCAGGCACGTATATATAAGTACAGAGGTGGGCCACAACCTCAACTATACAAGGAAACAGGAGGTGGGTCCTACACACATATACACGTACACAATATACTCAACATGTCGTGACCGGACATAAGCGCATTCCACATGACGGGCGTGCCGCCACCTCTGGCGGGCTGCACATCCAGCAGTGCGCGCGCCGTCACGCCGTCGCCCCTGGCCGCGTACATGAGGACCAGCGAGCTCGCCACGTGGGCGTTGAGCTGCAGCCCAAACTTAACCACATGCGCGTGGACAGAGTCTCCGGCGGCCGACGCCACGGCGCCCCGCTCTGCCACCACCGCCTTGAGCAACGGCGGAAACGTGTACGCGCCAGGCCTGGCTCCGCGTGCCAGCATGCCCACGTACGCCCGCAAGGGCATCCTCGGCCCTGGCAGCCGAACCAGCACCGCGAGGCGCCCCGGCTGGGAATTCCGTCGAACAGGCCGTGGGCGCAGAGCAATGCGGGTGCCAGCCTTCCCCGGGCGCTCCTCACCGCGGCATCGTCGCGTTAACCGCGGGTAGATTGATTTACCACTGCAGGGAAAGAAAGGATGAGCCGACGAGATGGACTGCACTGGGGGGTGGCGCACCGCGCACGTCTGGTCTACGAACGACAGCGGCAGCGGACTAGAAGACACGGGCGAGCGAGGAGGTCCCGGCGCGTCACGACGGCGGGAGCGGTGGAGGAAGAGTGGAGCCTATCGCTGGACGTGCTCACGTGGAGCTGCGCTCCGGCGAGCAGGGTCGGCAACCGACAGCGGCGGTGGCCTTCGAGCGGGGAATGAAGACTTCGCTCGCCTTCCGCTCTGTTTTTCTTTTTCTTTTTCTTTATATAAGAGGCTGTTTGGAATCGGTGTAAAATTTGTGTGGCCACAGATATTTAGCTCAAGCTTGAATTAAATATCAGTGTGCACAAAACAACACATCCATTCTCAAAAAAAAAAAGCACATCCATTTCAAACGGGATCTCAGGATTCAGTGAGATGTCAATTTTACATATGTGTGTGCGATTTTGGAGATATCCGACCCGCATGAATAGAAATATGTGTACTAGGAATCCATCTGGCTTTCTTTTACAAAGTACAGTGCTAGTGTATTTTACAAATGTACTAGATCATTGATTGCGTGCATTGCTGCACTCATCCATTTTGAGAAAAAGATAGTAGAAATGTCACAAAAATGTATGCACCATAAATTTGTTCTTTTTTCAAAAATTCACTTCATGGTCCCTTCATATAGACACAAGCAATATTGCCAAGCAAGCTCACGGTAATCGAAGATTTTAAAAATTCATTAACATCAAATGGCTTTGTTTTTTCATCCAGGTTTAATAAGATGGGTACTAAGAAAACTGATGGCCACGTAAACATGTTTAAAGAATATACTAGATATGCCCATCATACTTTTAAAGTCTAGAACACCGTGAACCAATCTGTGGTTGGATGGTTAAGAGGACCGTGATATCTCCTGTCCAACAGCGTTCAACTCCCAAACTTGACATTGGTGCTCGCATTTTCCTGGATTTATTTCAGGCCTTCCGGTGATGTGCCTTCAGGGGAAGGAAATGTTTTCTTTCAACGATGTGCGTTCAGTGGGAGGAAATGTGGTAAACTTTCCCACCATGTAGGTCCAGGCTTTGCCCAGATTTAGGCATTACCGCAGGATCACCTTCTTTTTGCTTTCCACCTTGACTGTTAGAATTTATACAATCTGGTCATTTTTTCTTTTTTTGACAAAGGGAATATTATTAATATTGCGAAGATACAAATCGAAGCTCACTTTGTCATAAGTTTGTGGAGCTAGAATAAATTGTTGTTTCCAAACGTGAGTGTTGATATGTCTCCAACGTGTCTATTTTTTCGAACACTTTTGCTCTTGATTTGGACTCTCATTTGCGTAATTTGAATGACACTAACTCAGACGGATGTTGCTTTCAGCAGAACTGCTTTGGTGTTGTTTTTGTGCAAAAATAAAAAATTCTCGAAACTGGACAAAAATTTACAAATAATTATTTTAGAATATATAAAAGAATATTGGCGCAAAGAACTACCCAAGGGGGCCACTAGAGAGCCACAAGCTTAGGGGGCACCCCTCAGGGCACGTCATCTGAGCTTGTGGGGCCCTCGAGCCTCTGTTTACCCTAACTCCAAGTCTACACACACCGTAAATTAAAACGAAAGTTTCATCGCTTTTTATGATATGGAGCCGCTCCCACCTCCTATTCTTCACTAGGAGGCCTGATCTAGAGTCTGTTTGGGGCTCCGGAAAGGGGAATTCGTCGTCGTCGTCATCAACAATCCTTCTTCATCAACCAACTCATGATGCTTACCATCGGGAGTGGGTAATTTCATCGTAAGCATGCTGGAGGTAGATGGAGATGGATGAGATTCGTCATGTAATCGAGTCTTTTGTTAGGGCTTGATCCCTAGTATCCATTATGTCCTGAGATTAATGTTGCTACTATCTTGCTATGCTTAATGCTTTTCACTAGGGCCCGAGTGTCATGATTTTATATATGAACATATTATGTTTTTATGAATATATTTGAGTACTTGATCCTATCTTGCAATTTATATGCATCTTTATTGTTCTGAACCATAGACCCCAAGGTGACAATAATTGGAATACAATCCGGGGATGACTGTAATTTGAGGAGTTCATGTATTCACTATGTGTTAATGCTTTATTATAGTTCTCTATTAAAAGTAGTGCTTTAATTACCCTTAGTTTCCATTAGGACCCCGCTGCCATGGGAGGGCAAGGAAAAAGATGTCATGCAAATTCTTACTGCAAGCATGTATGACTATATATGGAATACATGCCTACATACAATTGATTAATTGGAGCTACTGTGTGTCGCTCTAGATTGTAACTTATACATTATGAATTTCATCCAAATATCCATCGCTACTCCATGCCTAAGCTTTCATAATATTTTCTTTACTTGAGTACTACTACTATTGTTGTTACAAAACTGCTATTATTACTGGTACTAGTGTTACCACTGCTATCAGTACTATCATACTGCTGTGCTACTAATAAATTGATGCAAGAAAGTGACTTCTCAGCTGTGATTGAATTGACAACTTAACTTCTAAGGCTTATAAATATTATTTGTCTCCTTTATGTTGAATAAATTTGGGTGAAATACTACACTCGAAGACTGTCGCAAAGCCCTATACTTGTGGGTTATCAAGACCATTTTATGGCACCGTTGCAGGGGAGCATATCTCTATTTTATTAAGTTTCACTTGAGAGCTAAATATCTGCTGCAATTATATTCATTATGAAGAACCTGAGAGACTCTAAGACCAAGATCATGCCCTCGAAGACAAGGGAAGGTAAGAAACTACCAACTAGCATTCGCCTATTGTTTTAAGTCGAGTTGTGACACCACCACCTGCTATTCAATCTGATATGTCGCGACTAATAGACACTGCTTCTGCTATTGATGATACTCATGATGATAATTGTACTTTGCTTAATGATATTTTGCCACTTGATGAATTACTTGATGCTCATATTGCTAAAGCTAAAGAATCTGAAATTATTGAAAACTATGAATCACTTGCTACACCCAATACTCCTGCTAGAACTAAGATGCTTGATATTCCCGAAGGTTACATTATTCCTAAGGAGTTTACTAGAGAACTTATGGCTTATGATACTCATAATGGCATAGAAGGTTTTATGGCTATAATGAAAAAAAGTCATGAACCAAATGATGAAATATGATCCTAAGTTTGGAATTTCTCCTATTTTTGTTACTGATAAGGACTATGGATTCGCTGTTGATCTTGAACTCATTACTTTGGTAAAATTCGATCATTTTCGTGGTTATTAATCTGAAACTGTTGTTGCACATCTTACTAAATTCAATGATATTGCCACCCTATTTGCTCAAGAGGAAAAGATCCGCTATTATTATATTTTTAAGTTGTGTTTTTTATTAAAGGGTGATGCTAAAGTATGGTGTAATGATCTTGCTCTTGATTGTGTATGTAGCCCCTAAGATATGATTTATTACTTTACTGAAAGTATTTTCCTATTAATAAGAAACAACCTGGCTTACAGGAAATATATAATTTTAAACAACTTGAGGAAGAGCATCTCCCTCAAGCTTGGGGGAGCCTTCTCCAATTATTAAATGTTTTGCCTAACCATCCTTTTAAGAAAAATAAAATACTTGATATCTTTTATAATGAACTAATAGATCTTGCAAAAAAGAAAAACTAATAAATGTTTCTAAAGACTACCTAGATAGTTGTGATAGTTGTGTTTTCAAGAAAAGAACGAACGAACAAGCTCAGGATTTATAGCATGGGAGACATCATCCATCGTCCGGACATAGTCAAAGTCCGCATTTGATAGCTAAAAAACCATGATTTTGATAGGCTGACTGTATAATAACTCACGCAGATTTTCTCTTGGATCGTGCTTGACAGTTTTGATTCGTTCTTCAAATACCTACACTACACAAAGTAGTAGTTGTGCAAATGGCAGAATAAAAAAGTTGTTGTTTGGTGTCGAGTTCCACCAGTATGCAGTTTTGGTCCAAATAAGTTTAGAGCTCCTTAGAGATATGTTTTACCTAAGAGTTTAAAACTCCAAATATACCTCTTCTGCACTTTGGCGCTAATCAAGATGGAAGTTCAGGTGGCAGAAGTGCAGATGGTTCCGGCTATTAGAGCAACTCCAATGAAGCGACCCATTTCATCCGCTAGCGTCCGTTTGGGTCGACGTGGACAGAAAAGTTGGCCCAACGCGCCGACCCAAACGGATGCGCGTCCACTTGGCGTCCGCCTGCTGACCTATTTCCGGCCCATTTTTGAGCCAGATTTGCATCGACGTGGACATGAGACGGACGCGCGCGCGCGTCTACTCCTCTTTCGGGGCCCGCCGGTCGGTGGCAGCCAACATCATTTCCCCCCATTTTCCCAAAAACCATTCCGCCCACATGCTCCCGCCCCACACCCTGCCATGGAAGGCTAATACGTCTCCAACGTATCTATAATTTTTGATTGCTCCATGCTATATTATCTACTGTTTTGGACATTATTGGGCTTTATTATCCATTTTTATATTATTTTTGGGACTAACCTATTAACCGGAGGCCCAACCCAGAATTGCTGTTTTTTTTGCTTATTTTAGTGTTTCGAAGAAAAGGAATATCAAACGGAGTCCAAACGGAATGAAACCTTTGGGAACATGATTTTCTCACCGAACATGATCCAGGGGACTTGGACCCTACATCAAGAAACAAAGGAGGAGGCCACGAGGTAGGGGCGCGCCTACCCCCCAGGCACGCCCTCCACCCTTGTGGGTCCGCTGTTGCTCCACCGACGTACTCCTTCCTCCTATATATACCTACGTACCCCCA